GCAAGAGGCATGCACTTCAGCAGTTCAGTTTACGGGGGTTCAGTCTGGGGGTTCAGGGCTATTTTGGGATGTGGGACTTAGGCTTTAAGCGCTTGCCCCTTGTGGGGTGAGCATTCTCGGCTTTCGGGGGGGTTTGAGGCCGGTTTGTAGGAGTTGAGCTTATAAACACAGCTCAAGAGTTTCCGGAATCTGGGTCTCTCAGGTTTCTAGGAAAGGGTCTCCAATGGTCTCCAGGCGAAACCGGGTGGATGACCTGCAGGGGGCATGCAGATTCGGGTTTCAGGACTACCCGGCTGCCCTAAACCCGTCGGCCACAAGGCTGCAAGGACCTCATTCTCTCAGGTCGCTGGGAGCCAACTACACCCGACTGTACAGCGACTTCGCTTCGACCGTTCTGCGCTTTGGTAGGGTTTCGGATCTTGGAGCATAGCGCACTACCCAAAGCTTCCAAAAGACTCTATTTAATTTAAAGGCTTTTAGGAGGCCTTAAAATAGTGTCGAAAGCTCTAATTAAGGACTCTACACATATACCTTAATTAAGGTGTTTTAATAAACCTTATTTTCAAGGTATACATAATTTATAGATCGAGTGTGTGTGTGTGTGCATGTGTATATATATATATATACACATGCATGCATGTATATATATATATATATTATATATTTATTTATATTTAAAGGATCGACCCTTGCAGAAAAAAAGCTATGTAGGTGCAGGAGGGTGGGCCCTAACCTCCTGGAGGAGGCTTCACTTGCAGAAAAAACTGTACATTTGGCACGACCTGAGCTCGTGCAGGAGGTATTCTATAACCTCCTATAGAGGAGGCTGAAGAGCCTCCTATAGCTGCTATTAACTTAAGCTCTTAAGTGCATGCATGCAAAACGAATCCTTTTTGATCTCGCGAGCTGCATGGATCGACATCAGCTGCTGGGATTAAGATGTGGCAGGCCTTTGGCCCTCCACCTCTGCAGCACAGAGAAGGCAACAGATCTGGGATTGTGCGAACCACCCTTCAATCGGGCCAGGCTTGCAAGGTATCCGCCCATGTCCTCATCTCGGTAGGTCCACGTGAGGCTGGGACTTCCTGGCTGCAAGCAGACCTCGAGGGCACCATGGTGTTTCGGCTTAATCTTCCATAAGCATGCTTCCGGATCTCGCAAAGCTTTCACCAAAAGGCAAAACTGTGTACAAGATGCCACAAGGGCCTCCGGGTTGTACCTGTCATTTTGCAGCATGGCATAACAAGCCTGCAATCTCACGGCAGCTTCTCTGATGCAAGCTTCTTTCTCAGTGCATGCATTAGGAGGGAAAGCCTCCTGGCACAACTGCAGCACAAAGGGTACCAAAGCTCTGGCCTCTGCTGCCTTGCATCGCAATTTCGGCGAGGAAGTACTCGTCTTGCGGATCATCGTTTCAGTCAGTGTGCTGAGTCGACTGTCTGTGCTCATGTGGCCATCTGAGCTGTAATACTGCTGGAGTTTTTTGTACAGCTCTTTGATCCTTTGAGGCTTGCTGGAGCCTGGCAGGTACCCCTCTTCAGAAATCATGTGAAAAAAAAACATTTCCTACAAAGTCAGCGGTGATGCCTTGATCGAAATTATGGAGCCAGTCAAATAATATCTGCTTCGCAGTCAGGCCAGGGCAGCCAAACACCTGGCTGATGTGCATGCCTCTGAGCATGATCCTGTCCATGAGCTCCCAGTGCTCCAAGGGAGGCTGAACCTTCCACTCAGCCTCAGCATCAAATTGGTCCATGGTCTCCATGTTGCAGCGGCAAACGTGACAAATCCCAGTGTTTTCTTTCCAGCCGGGAAAAGCAAAAATATCTTTTCGCATTGCCCAGTCTCCTCTTACTTCCACTAAGAAGCTTCGCAGGCCTATGGAGGAACCACCCCATCTCGCCCTAGCTGCATCAGAGCCCTTGGACCACTCTGAGCCATCATGCCTTCTTCTGGGCATGATTCCCATGCATGCTTGTTGCATGCTCCAGGCCACCACTCCCAGAATGCAATCGAAAGTTCGAAACTTGATGCAAAAATGCTTGGGGATGACGGTGATCGGAAGCCTGAGGCCTTTGTTGGCCTCACCCAGCCCTGGAAAGTTGAGAACCACGGATTCCAGGCTCAACAAACGATCGTACGAATAAGGAGTGCCGTCGATCCACAGGCCAACTCCTAAGGCAGCGCTTGCATCAAACTCTTGCTCCATCTTCAAGAGATGGGCCAAACTGGCCTCGCACATGCCGGATCGTTGCAGCAAATCCTTTTTGCATGCATGGAGGCCCATGCAACGAATAAGCTCATGGGGTAGCAAAAATGGAAGGTCGATTGTTGTTTCGGTCTGCTTCTTCAAATCCAGTACCGGAATAGAAGCGAAGTATACAGGAGGCCATAGACATCGCTTCAAAAGCCTCCTAGACAAGTCGCGAGCTGCATTCGGGTTCCGACCCAGCTTGACTGCATAGTCGCTGCCCAGGCCCTTGCAAAGCTCGTTGGCCTGAGTAAGGCCAGCTGCATTTGCATCCTCGAACAGCTCCTGAGCCCTCTGTCCCGATATGTGGTTCGCTAAAAAGAGATCTCCGATGTTCGCCTTCAGCCGCTTACTTGGAGGAACATCTGCAGATCGGTATTCCTTCTCTCTCTTGTGAAACATGGCCCGACGATGACCCTCATGCTATATAGCTGCATGGCATGCTCGAAGCTCGAAAAAGCTCTAGGTGTGTGAGGTTATATAGCTTCAGATCCAGCATGCATGCACTGCACTCGGACCACAAAAGTTAAGCTGGAGCATACAGGGCCCTTTTTGACTGCAGAGCGAGCGAAGCTGCCGTGGTTGATCAAAACTTCTGTAGCGACCGAAGATATATCCTCGGGACCATGCGAGGCTAGTAGCTCTGCATGCATCCTATCATACGATCCTAGCTCAGCCGAGGGGGCCTACAGCTACAAGAGCGCCGAATTCCGCCTCAACTTGTCCTTCACTGCCACAGCCAGCTCGCCCATCTTCTCCACGTGGCCCTGGAGGACCTCCATCTGCTCATCTTTGATCTCGTGCGGTCTGGCTTCCTCGGCAGCTCCCACGAAGATTGTGGCATCCTCAAGGTAACCCTGCTGCTCGGCATGGTACGTCTTCATATCCGCAGCCTTGCTGGCGAGGGCGGGATCCGAACGATGGCGGAGGCGAGCAGCAACAGCCGCGAGCTTGCCGAGGTCCCGCTCCACGGTACCTGAGACCGATATATAGAAAAGAACCTGGTATATATATATATGCAAAAAAAATGATACCTAGTTTAAATGCAAAGAAGATACTCTTGGAAGTAGACAAGACAGCAACCTGGTTCTGGTACTTCTCGAACCTCAGATCCTCATGGGTCTTAACCTCGGCCCCCTGCGAGGAGGATCCAGCCTCACTGCTTCCTCCTGTTCTTCCCACGATATCCAGCACACTGGAGAGCTGCTCGCCTGAGGCCTTGCCAGTCTGCCGATTGGCTTCAACAGACTCGCTCCAGGTCTTGTCGGTGGTGGTCTTACCAAACGTCACGGCGATCTTGGCCAAGTGGAACCGCTTCAACTTGGCCTTGGCAAAAGCCACTTGGGTGGGATCCTTCTCGTCCCACTGATCATCTGCCATTCCGTCCATGAGCACAAGGCTCTTCTCCACCGCCAGGAACTCTTTCGAATCTGCCGGCATCTCCAGCAGGCTGGCAACTTGGAACCTTAGATGCTCCAAAGACCAGAACGAAGCAGCAAGAAAAGGCAGAAGCAACACATGCAGAAGCCCCAAATGCATCCTGGGATCCTGGTACCAAAACCTGTGCGACCTTCGGCTTCTTCCTTCTCGGTGAAAGTCACCCTTTTCGACCAACTCCCGTACCACTTGCAAGACTTGTCGTTCTTCCACAGAGCTAGCAACTCCTTCTTCTGCTTGTCGTAGCGGCCGAGGCTTGTGTAGTGCTTGTACACCGCAACCTTGTCTGGCTGGTCGCTGCCCTTCACCTGGGTCAAAAAGTTGCACAAGTCTTTCTTGTCCTCGGCGGCCGACGTGCCGGGTTCCTTCTTCACCAACACCTTGGCCTTGGCGGCCGCCTTGGTAGTCTTACCCATGGCTGGCAAGGGACGAGCTGAGGAAACTAAGGGCAGAGGGCACAGCGAGGCTCGCAGCCAAAACTCTGCGGCAGGCAGAGCAGTAAGTGCAAAGGTGCGATCCGACTGCATGTTGCATGCAAAGGCAACAGAGCAACTGCCAGGAGGCCTTCAAAGGAGCCTCCTCAATTAAAGTAATATAGGCAACATATTAGGAGCTGCAGAAGCTCCTTCTGCTTGTTAAACAATTGCATGTTCATGCATAAGTTATATATATATATATGATTCGAAACCCATAATATAGAACACATGTATGTTAACACACACATGTATATATATATATACATATAAAGTGTGTGTGCAGTATATTGCCTATGTGTAATATATATATATGTATGTATATATATATATGTATGTATATATATATATGTATATAGATGGGTGGTGGTGGTGGTGGTGGTGGGTGGTGGGTGGTGGGGTGTGGGGTGTGGGTGGTGGTGGGTGGGGGTTGTGGTGGTGGGTAGCTGGTGGGTGGTGGTGGTGGGGGTGGTGGTGGTGGGTGGTG